AACTGCTTCCTCTCTCTGCATCCCTTTCCCTCGGCCTGTCATTAGTTATCGCTCTCACCGCTTCCTCTCACTGCCTTCCGTCTCCTCCAGGCCCTCTCGTCGACCGCCTCCGTCTCTTTCCGCGGGGCAGCCATCTCCGCTCCGCGCCGAATCTCCACCGCGGGGACGGTCTCCTCCGCCGTTGCGGTGCCCGCGCAGGCTTCCGCCGCTTCCGCCGCCGACGCCGCCGACGGCGCCGCTCAAGGTGAGGTGAGCGGCTGTGCTAGCATCTGGTCACTTGATTTTTCTTGCATTGTTGACCGTTGAATGAAAGCCGCTCAAGATGAGGCGAGCGGCTGTGCTGGCATCTGATTCGTTGAATTCTTGCACTCCCCCCTCTTCCGGCCATTCCCTTCTCCTTCCCCCTGCACCCCTCCCCCACCCCCTTCCCGCCCTCCCCCAACACTTTCTCTGCGCAATCCTCACAGGGGACGCCAGGGGAGGTGCAGGAGGGGGTGCAGCGGGCACTGGCGGCAGTGAAGAACTCGCCAGCAGGCACGCCGCTGTCGTTGCTGCAGCGGCAGCTGGCATCCGTACTCACGCCGTTCGCGGATAGACTGGATTCTCGAGCCTTGAGCAGCATCATGAAGCAAGTGAGTGAGTGAGAGTGTGTCTGTGGTCACTTGCTAGGTTGGGCTGGGATTCTCTTAGGGATTCGCCAACAGGCACGCCGCTGTCGTCGCCGCAGTGGCAGCTGGAGTCCGTACTCACGCCGTTCGCGGATAGGCTCGACTCGCGCGCTCTCAGCAGCATCATGAAGCAGGTGCGTGAGTGAGTGAGGGAGTGAGTGAGTGAGTGAGTGACTGAGTGAGAGTGATGTGAGGGTGAGTTGTGTCAGGCTGGATTCGGACTGGATCACATAGGGTAGTTCCCGTCGGTGCTCACGCCGTTCGCGGATAGGCTGGATTCGCGCGCTCTGAGCAGCATCATGAAGCAAGTGAGTGAGTGAGAGAGTGAGCGACATTTGAATCGACTCAAAATTCAGCTCGTTACAATGTCACTCAGAGAAGCAGCACCACGAAGCAGTCTGGAGTCTCAGTAGGATAGGACAACTAGCGCCGACCGAGAAACAGGTGAGCGAAGGAAGTGGAGAAATAGAACCGACCAACCAACGAATAGCTTCAAGTTTAGCCGCGTCAGAGAGAAAGGTATGTGGTCAAACGGAACGGCCCACTGCATGCTGCTGCCCGACCACCTCTCCCTGTCAACCGATCCCTCCTTTTGAGGCGCCTCAAAAGCCGCCTCAAAAGTCGCCTGAAAAGGCGCCTCAAAACTTTTGCGGCGCCTCGCAAGTCGGAATGGCCTGCGTGCATACTGCCCGACCACCTCCCCCCCTGTCAACCGATCCCTCCTTTTGAGTCGCCTCAAAAGCCGCTCAAAAGTCGGAACGACCCACTGCATGCTGCTGCCCTACCTCCCCCTGTCAACCGATCCCTCCCTGCATGCATGGTCGGGTGGTGAAGCAAAGCAGCCGTTTCTCTCCTCCCCCCTGCTCTGACCCCCCGTCGTCTTCCCTTTCCCAAAACTGCCCAATCTGCCAGCATGAGGCGGACTGGCGTGTCGTGGTGGCGCTCTACGATTGGATGGCGGGGCAGGGCATTTCGCGCAGCGCAGCATCCATTCCATTCCATTCCATTCCATTCGATTCCTGCATGAGTTTGTGATAGGAAGGATGATTGGATGGCATTCCTTCTGGTGATGATTGTGGTAGCAAGCACACGGATCTGGTTTTTGTAAATAAATGTGCTTTTCTCCTTGTCTCCCCATCCCTTTCCCCCCTCCCGTTTCTCCCCTCCCCTTCCTCTCCCTCCGCTCCCCCATCTACCCCCATCTGTCAGCAAGAGGCGGACTGGCGTGTCGTGCTGGCGCTCTACGATTGGATGGCAGGGCAGGGCATTCCGCGCAGCATCCACGTGTACACGGTGGTGCTCTCGTGCCTGGGGCGGACGGCGCAGTGGAAGCACCTGCAATCCGTCTTGGACGATATGGCGAGACTAGGTGAGGGAGGGAGAGAACTGTATAGGCTGCGAGCAGCAGTGCATGGGATAGCCTGCACTGGCATGGGAAGGCTGTGCTCTCGTGCCTGGGGCGGGCGGCACAGTGGAACCACCCGCAATCCGTTTTAGATGACAATTCACGACTGGGTACGTAGGGAGAGAGAGACAGGGCGGTTGGGGGAGAGAGGTCGGTGAGAGGCTGACATAGAGGTAGACTGGGACTCGGAGCAGAGAGGGATAAATCTGCATAGCATCCACGTGTGCACCGATGGTGGTACTCTCGTGCCTGGGGCGCGCGGCACAGTGGAACCACCTGCATCCACAGTGCCTGTCAAGACTAGGTGAGTCCACTCCACTCTCACTTCCCCTCCATTCCGCATCCACGTGTACACGGTGGTGCTGGCGTGCCTGCCTGGGGCGGGGCGGGGCGGGCGGGTTGCGCAGTGGAGCCATCTTCAATCCGTGCTGGATGATATGGCAAGACTAGGTAGGAAGGGTATTTGGGCTCGGGGCGTTCCGCGCAGCATCCACGTGTACATCCACGGAGCGAGGAGATGCACTCTCTCACTCACTCACTTCCATTCCGTTCCGCATCCATGCATGCATGTGTGTGTGCACGGGCTGGCGGTGGTGCTCTGCGCATGCGTGCATGCCTGCGATGTTAGGCGCAGTGAAAGCACCTGCACTCCGCTCCGCGCTGGCTTACAATGCGCGCTTGCTCTTGTGCCGCCGCGCGTACAACATGCTCATAGTCGCCTACTCCAATGCTGAATGCTCACCTCTATCCCACCATGGCACGCCCCGCTCTCCCTGCTTCTCTGTCTTCCGCTCTTTCAAATAATTATCACAGGAGTGCCCATGGACGAGTACGTGTACAACACGCTCATAGTCGCCTACTCCAATGCTGAATGCTCACCTCTCTCCCACCATGGCACGCCCCGCTCTCCCTGCTTCTCTGTCTTCCGCTCTTTCAAATAATTATCACAGGAGTGCCCATGGACGAGTACGTGTACAACACGCTCATAGTCGCCTACTCCAAAGCTGAATGCTCACCTCTCTCCCACCATGGCACGCCCCGCTCTCCCTGCTTCTCTGTCTTCCGCTCTTTCAAATAATTATCACAGGAGTGCCCATGGACGAGTACGTGTACAACACGCTCATAGTCGCCTACTCCAATGCCGGTCGCTTCAACGAAGCTCTAGGGTGGTTTGAGCGCATGGAGAAGGCGGGTTGCATGCCCAACCAGGTGAGGACGAGAGACGAGAGGTGACTGTCACAAGAAGCTCTAGGGTGGTTTGAGCGCATGGAGAAGGCGGGTTGCATGCCCAACCAGGTGAGAACATCAGAAGAGATCAGGATCTTCTGTATCTTCTTGTCTTGACCCTCATCCCCTCTCCCCTCCCCTGTGGTTCGAGCGCATGCCGAATCAGGCGAGGACGAGTGATGAGATGTGGAAGCAGTTTCAGAGAAGGTGTTTGTTTGTACCGTTTCCTGTCTTTACCATCGTCCCCTCTCTCCCATGGTTCGTTTCAATTTGAGCCGCATGGAGGATGCCGCTGCAAGCTGAATCAGGTGAGGACAAGAAAAGAAATTAATTCTACAAGGTCCCTTTTATCGTCCCGTCGTTACCATAGGATGATAGGACTCTTCATCTCTGTACAGAGAAACGTAGATCCGTCCATCTCTGTGTTTAAATGGTTAACGTCTACGTTTAAGCACATGGAGAAGGGGGTACGTGCCAGGCGACAGGAGAGACGATTTGGACCCACCAGGTGACAGGAGAGACGATTTTGATACGAGAAAAATGGCTTCTGTGTTCTCCTGTGCTACCGTCGTTCCGTCTTCGTGTGCCCCTCCTATCCTCATTGTCATCTCCCTCCCCGTCCCTTTCCCGTGCACGCCCCCTTGCGCCCACGCATGCCCCCTTGCGCCCATGCATGCCCCCTTGCGCCCATGCATGCCCCCTTGCGCCCATGCATGCCCCCTTGCGCCCATGCACGCCCCCTTGCGCCCATGCACGCCCCCTTGCGCCCATGCACGCCCCCTTGCGCCCATGCACGCCCCCTTGCGCCCATGCACGCCCCCTTGCGCCCATGCATGCCCCCTTGCGCCCATGCACGCCCCCTTGCGCCCATGCACGCCCCCTTGCGCCCATGCACGCCCCCTTGCGCCCATGCACGCCCCCTTGCGCCCATGCACGCCCCCTTGCGCCCATGCACGTCCCCTTGCGCCCATGCACGCCCCCTTGCGCCCATGCATGCCCCCTTGCGCCCATGCACGCCCCCTTGCGCCCATGCACGCCCCCTTGTGCCCATGCACGCCCCCTTGCGCCCATGCATGCCCCCTTGCGCCCATGCACGCCCCCTTGCGCCCATGCACGCCCCCTTGCGCCCATGCACGCCCCCTTGCGCCTATGCATGCCCCCTTTCCCCGCGATGAAGCTCTTTGCTTGGGCGGGAGGGTCGGGTCGCGTGGCGCGCATTGCTGAGACTAACAGCCCTCCCGCTCCCCCCCGCTCCCCCCCGCTCCCCCCCGCCCCCCCCCGCTCCCCCCCGCTCCCCCCCGCCCCCCCCCGCTCCCCCCCGCTCCCCCCCGCTCCCCCCCGCTCCCCCCCGCTCCCCCCCGCTCCCCCCCGCTTCCCCCCGCTTCCCCCGGCGCTTTACACGGGAGGTGCTTCCCATCGCTTTCCCTCCCCCTCCTTCCTTCCCCTCACCCCCTCTCTCCTCTCCATCCGTCCAGCAGGTAATCTACACGTCAGTGAAGAACTGTTTGCACGGGCGTGCAGGAGGGATGGTGTGGCATTTTGAGTCTGCTTTTGAGTCGACTCAAAAGCTGTCTCATTACACGCAGTTTTGAGTCGACTTAAAAGCAGACTCATAACACGCGGTTTTGAGTCGACTTAAAAGCAGACCCATTACACGCGGTTTTGAGTCGACTCAAAAGCAGGTAATCTACACGTCAGTGATGAACTGTTTGCACGGGCATGCAGGAGGGATGGTGTGGCATGCATTGCTGAGGCGAACAGTCCCCCTTGTGCTCTCCCTTTCTCTTCCTTCCCTCTCTTCCCCCATTCATTCGTCGCACCAGGTGATCTACACAACGGTGGTGAAGCTCTTTGCCCGGGCGGGCAGGACGGATGGCCTGGCATGCATTGCTCTCAGATTAACAAGCTTTGTTCTCCTCCCTCCCTCTTGTTCCCTCACCCCATTCATTCGTCACACCAGGTGATCTACACTACAGTGATGAAGCTCTTTGCACGGGCGGGCAGGACGGACGGCGTGGCACGGATCGCCGCCCTGCTCAGGGAGGAGGGCGGCAGGGAGGACGGCCTTTTTCGGCTGGATTCGAAAACGATATGCGCGTTGATCGCTGCGTACAACAGCATGGGGGACCTGAATTCTGCGCAGGAGGTATGGTTTCTGAGAGGATTTCTGAGGCTTCTCCTCGTATATATGTATAATGTGCTGATATATTTCATGTATTTACATATACACATACATATACACATACACATACACATACATATACATATGTACGTATGGATGTATATATGCAACACTGTTCCGCATGACCAGGCATTGCCTTAGGGGAGTGGCACCGTGGGACGTAGTGGCGTGGAGTGGACTGCCTTGGTGGCGCATATGGGCTGCAGCAACCGCTCTCCACCCTAAAGAACCCATCCTCCCTCTTCTTTCCTGCTGCACCCCCCTCCCTGTCTCCATAGGAGATTGAATCCGCACGAGAAGGTATGCCCCCAGGCGAGTGGGACATGGTAGTCTGGAACGCCATGGTGGCCGCGTATGGGCTCTCCAGCAGCACCAACCGCTCTCCACCACACAGAACCCACTCATTGCTTCCCTCTGTGTTCCGTCATTCACAGGTGTTTGAGGCGGCACGGGCAGGCACGCCCCCAGGCGAGTGGGATGTGGTGGTGTGGAACGCCATGGTGGCTACGTATGGGCGGGCGGGCAAGGTGAGGCAGGCAGAGGAGCTATTGCTGCAGATGGAGGCACAGGCGGACAGGGGTGACGGGCGGAGTGAGGGGGAAGAAGGGGCACGTGGGGTTGATACAGGGGAGTGGGGGAGTGTAGAGCCTGATTGGGGGAGTGCGGAGGCAGATGGGGGGGGGAGCGTTGAAGCGGATCGGGTGGGCCAGAGCATGGGAGAAACAGGGGGAGCGGAGTCAGTGAGTAGGGTGCAAAGGGGTGCTGCTGGGTCGATTATTTCGTCGACTAGAAACGTCAGCAGGGTGCAAGGGGACGTTGAGGCGTCTCAAGCGACTTGTGAGTCGACTCAAGAGCATCTGGGCAGGGCCGCGACAGAGGCAGAGGATTCGGCTTCAGAGGCGCCTCAAAAGGCGTCTGAGAAGTACATGGACTGGGTGGCAGAGAGAGAGGATTTGCTGGTGGTGCAGATGGGTGCAGAGGGGTTTGAAGGAGAGGCGCTGCAAGGGCGAGCGCCTGGCGGTGGTGCTGACAGTGCTGACAGGGCTGGTGTTGCTGTAGGAGCTAAGTCAGCAGCAGCTGGTGTTGCTGCATCAGCAGCTGTGGCAGCAGAAAGGCCTGTAGCAGCAGAGACATCTGTAGCAGACACCTTTGAAGGCTCTTTCTGGTCCAACCCTGGGCTGCAGGGAACCCAGCCTCACCCATCTCCGCTCCTTCAACCTGCCCTTTCCTGCTCCGAACCAGCTTCGATGGGCTCCGAGCCTCGGCCAGAGGTTCAGAGCAAGGCTCGGGGTGAGCTTTGGAGCGAGGCTCGGGAGGGGCTAGTGGCTGCAACTGTGACTGTATCCCCAGTTTCAAGGCTGGAAAGGCAAGGTATCAGCGAGAGTGACAGTGAGAGCCAATATTCCGGTGGTGAAAATGGCAGTGCTGGTGTGGGTAACTGGGATAGTGGCAGTGGTAGTGTGGTAGCCGCTGGTGGTGGCGTTGGTGTTGGTGGCGATGGGGGTTTCGTGGCTGCAGGTGTAGATAGTGGTGGAACGGGAAATTCTGGGGGTATACCGTTGGTTTCCCCTCCTCCCCCTCCCCCTCCCCCTCCGCCTCCTCTTGTTGCAACGGTTTTGAGAAAGCCTACGCCGCTACCTTCCACTGCTAGCAGCAGCAGCAGCAGCAGCAGCAGCCCCAGCAGCAGCAGGAACGATGGCCGTAGCAGTAGCAGTAGCACAGGCGATGGCCGTATAAGCAGCAGCAGGAGCAGCAGCAATGACAGCGGCAGCAGCAGCACCAATCAGAGAAGTAGGGGCAGCTTAGGTGAACCCTCAGGTGGATTCTCAGGTGATTTAGAAGCAGAAGGAGCAGGAGGAAGCGGGGAGGATGGCAGGGAGGAGGAAGAGGAAGGGAAGGAGATTGATAGGGAGGTGGAAAGGAGGGAGATGCTACGGCGGGAGGGAGGGGGAAGGAGGGGAGGAAAGTCGACCAGGGGATATTCCGGCAGCACTGGTGCGAGGAGAGGAAGGGAAAGGGTTGGAAGAGGCGAAGGCGGAGGAACCAGAGGCGGATTGGAAGGAGGGAATCGGGAGCTGTCGCCCCCAAGGTTTGGGCCAACGTTGAATGCGTACAACTCTCTGCTCAATGCCTATGCCAAGGCGGGAGATGTTGACAAGGCAGAGAAGACGTTTAAGGTAGGCTTGAGACGAGGTCTTGAAGTGGATGGGGAGGCATTGAATGCGTACAACTCACTCCTGAACGCGTATGCGAAGGCGGGGGACGTGGACAAGGCAGAGAAGACCTTTAAGGTAGGCTCAAAACTTGGTTTACAGCAGGGCAGTCATGAGCTGTCTCCCCTCGGTTTGGGCCGACACTGAATGCATACAACTCGCTGCTGAACGCGTATGCCAAGGCGGGAGACGTGGACAAGGCAGAGAAGACGTTCAAGGTAGGCTTGAAAGACGAGGCAGAGAGAAAAGTCTTGTTTTGAGGCACCTCAAAGCAAGACGAGGCAGAGAGAAAAGGGGAACGTTTAGTTGAAGAGATGACTTTTGAGTCGACTCAAAAGTCAAGACGTGGACAAGGCAGAGAAGACTTTCAAGGTAGGCTTGAAAGATGAGGCAGGGAGAAAAGGGGGATGTTTTAGTTGAATGCTCACAACTAGCCGCACTCCGTCTGTGTCTGCTTTTGAGGCGCCTCAGAAAAGGGGAACGTTTAGTCGAATGCTCACAACTCGCCGCACTCAGCTCAGTGTGTGTCTGCGCCCTCCCCTCAACCCCCCTCTTCAGGTGACTTTTGCGTCGACTCAAATGTCTGCGCCCTCCCCTCAACCCCCCTCTTCTCTCCCCTTCCCCACCCCACCCCTTCCCTCTGCAAACCTCAACAGCGCCTCATGGCTCGCGGATTCTACCCGTCAACTGTCACATTCAACACGCTGTTCTCGCTCTACGCCTGGCTGCCCTCCTCCTCAATCTCTGTCCTATCCCTTCCCAACTGACCCGTTCCCCCATTCCCTCCTTCCCTCGCCCCCCTCCCAGCGTCTCATGGCTCGCGGATTCTACCACTCAACCGTCACATTCAACACGCTGTTCTCGCTCTACGCCTCGCTGCCCTCCTCCTCCTCCTCCTCGCTCTCTGCTGCCCGCCGCCTGCACGCCCTCATGCTGCAAATGGGCGTCCCCCTGGACGTGCCTCTCCACGTGTACTTGTGCTGTTCTTTGAGTGGCCTGCTCAGCCGGTTTTCACCGCTAACACCCCCTTGTCTTGCTCTTCTTCCCCCACCCTCTTTGTGTCTGCTTCTCCCACCCACCCGCACTCCCCAGCGCCTCATGGCACGGGGGTTCTACCCGTCAACAGTCACATTCAACACGCTATTCTCTCTCTACGCCTCGCTGCCCTCCTCCTCCTCCTCGCTCGCTGCTGCCCGCCGCCTGCACGCCCTCATGCTCCAAATGGACGTGCCTCTGGACGTCTACTCGTGCTGCTCTCTCATTGGCCTGCTCAGCCGCTCCGGGCAGGTTGAAGAAGCGGTCGGGCTGTTTGAAAGAATGAAGGCGCAGGGCGTGCAGGTGTGTGTGTGGGTGGGGGTGTGTGCATGGGTGGGGGCGTTCAGGTGCATGCTTGTGCGAGGGTGGGTATGGGTAGTTGTTGGTGGGTGTGGGTAGGTGTTGGTGGGTGTGGGTAGGTGTGGGTGGGTGGGGTTGAAGAAGCGGTCGGGCTGTTTGAAAGAATGAAGGCTCAGGGCGTTCAGGTGTGTGGGTGGGTGGGGGCATGGCGTGCAGGTGCATGCTTGTGCGAGGGTGGGTGTGGTGTGGGTAGGTGTGGGTGGGTGGGTGGGGTTGAAGAAGCGGATGGGCTGTTTGAAAGGATAAAGGCACAGGGCGTGCAGGTGTGTGTTTGTGCGAGGGAGAGTGGGTATGTGTGGTTGTTGTGGGTGTGTGTTTGTGCGAGGGAGAGTGGGTATGTGTGGTTGTTGTGGGTGTGTGTTTGTGCGAGGGAGAGTGGGTATGTGTGGTTGTTGTGGGTGTGTGTTTGCCTGCATTTGCGTGCACATTCGTGTGTTTGAAAGAATGAAGGCGCAGGGAGTTCAGGTGTGTGGTGTGGGTGTGTGTGCATGGGTGGGGGCGTTCAGGTGCATGCTTGTGCGAGGGCGGGTGGGTGGGCGTGGCGTGGGTTTGGGTGTAAGTGGGTTTGGGTGTAAGTGGGTTTGGGTGTAAGTGGGTTTGGGTGTAAGTGGGTTTGGGTGTAAGTAGGTTTGGTTGGGTGTAAGTGGGTTTGGGTGTAAGTGGGTGGCGATTTTTTGTTCAAAAATCCCTTTTAAAAAGTGATTTTCTAGGCACCTCAGACATTGTTTGTGTCCCTTCCTTCCCTGTTCGCTCCCTCCCTCCCTCCACAATCTGAAGTTCCAGACCTCTCTCAGCTGACTTTTGAGTCGACTCAAAAGTCACAATCTGAAGTTCCAGACCTCTCTCAGCAAAAAATCCATACCTTTCACCACCCCCCTCCCCCCTCGCTCTTTCGATGCACTTCCTCCTCCCCCTCCCCCCCACCAGCCGGACTTGCACGTGTTCAGTGCAATGATCGCCATGTTGGCCCGCCGCCACGGCAAGGTGGACTTTCAAACGCACAACCAACCAAAGTCTCACCCTGATCAATCCCTTACCCCAATTACCTCCACCCTTCCTGCCCCCCACCCCCACCAGCCGGACTCGCACATGTTCAGTGCCATGATCGCCATGTTGGCCCGCCGCCACAGCAAGCTGGAAACATGTAGCTCAATCTTTTGTCTTCTTTCTCCCACCCACCCTTCAACCCCACCACCATCACCCCCCCCACCCCCACCAGCCGGACTCGCACGTCTTCTGTGCAATGATCACCATGTTTGCTCGCCACGGCAAGCTGGAGTACCAAGGTGCAACCAACCAGAGCCTACCTGTTCAATCCCTTTCCCCCACCAACCCTCCCCCCCCACCAGCCGGGCTCGCACGTGTTCAGTGCAATGATCGCCATGTTCGCGCGGCACGGCAAGCTGGAAGCCGCGCTGAGAACCTTCCTGGAGATGAAAGCCATACCCTAATCCCTCCCTTCCCCCATCCACCTCCATCCACCCGCACCAGCCCGACTCTCATGTCTTCAGCGCAATGATCGCCATGTTCGCGCGGCACGGCAAGCTGGAGGCCGCGCTGAGAACCTTCCAGGAAATGAAGGCGGCAGGGTGTGCAGTGGACATGCCCGTGCTGACGTCCATGATCGGCGTTTACCACCGCTTGGGTCTGCTGGAAGAGGCTTCTACAGCTGCAATGGACGCTATTGTGAGTGGAAGTTTGAGGTGCCTTCACGATGCATGTCCCAGAGCTCACTGCATGTATGTACCACCACCGCCGCCTTCCCTGCCCTGGTGTTACATGCCCATGGCATGGACGCAATTGGGAGTGGAGTGGAGGTTTGAGGTTTGAGGTGCCTTGATTACGCATGTGCTTGTGCATGCCCATAATGCATGTGCATGTGTCGGCGCTGACTGTGTGACGTCTTATGATGGGCATGTACCACCACCAGCTTCGCTGCCCTCCCTTCCCCTCCCACCCCAGACTCAGGGCAGCGGGCATCTGGACTGGATCCTGTGATTGCCAGCACCATCATCTCCCTCTTCTCATTCGCCAGTCTCCCTTTCATTCCCAACTTCCCAATTGTCCTCTCTATGTGCCTCCCTCTTTCTTTCTAACCTTCTCCCCCCCTCAGACTCAGGGCAGCGGGTACCTAGACCCTTCTCTCACTTCTCCGCTACCCAACCACACACCCTCCTGCCCAACACACCTTTTTCTTCTCCCCTTTCCTGTTCAGACTCAGGGCAGCGGGCATCTAGACCCTGTGATTGCCAGCGCCATCATCTCCCTCTTCTCCAAACAAGGCCGGCTCGGGGACGCGGTGAGAATATTTCGGGCTGCCCGGGGCATGGGCAGCCAGCAGATCCAGCCGGGCAGCATCGACGAAAATAGTGTGAGCACCTGGAGTAGGAACAACAGCGTCTGGAGTAGAAGCAGCAGCGGCGGTAGTAGCAGTGGCAGTAGCAGTGACAGCGAGAGCAGCAGCAGTGGTACTGGCGAGAAATCAAATCGATCAGTAGCAGATGTAGAGTCAGAAGAAGCAGCAGGAGCAGAAACCGGAGCAGCAGCAGCAGCAGCAGCAGCAGTGGCAGAAGTAGCAGGAGCAGCACGGGCAGCAGCGGCGGCAGCAGCAGGAGAAGGGACAGTAGCAGCACCATCAGCAGCAGCAGGATCAGCATCAGCAGCACGAGCAGCAGAGGGAGCAGAGGCAGCAGCAGCAACAGAGGCAGCAGCAGGAGCAGCTGCAGGAGCAGCAGCGGCAGTAGGGGTAGCAGCAGGAGCAGCTGCAGGAGCAGCAGTGGCAGCAGGGGCAGCAGCGGTAGCGGCAGCGGCAGGAGGGGGCAGTTCTCGCAAGAGGGGTCACAGGGGGAGGGGGGAGGGGGAGGAGGCGGGGGGGGCGGGTGGATGCAGTGCTGCTGAGCACGATGATGGACGCTTACAGCAAGGCAGGCCAGCTGGACGCTGCTGAAGCTCTGTTCGCTGAGATCCTGGTGAGTGGTGGGGTGTGGTTGGGTACGGTGTGGCTGGGTACGGTGTAGCCTCTTGCTTGCTTCTGAGTAGATGTGGTGCTGCTGAGCACGATGATGGACGCCTACAGCAAGGCGGGCCAGCTGGACGCTGCTGAAGCTCTGTTTGCTGAGATCCTGGTGGGCGAATGGTTAATGTGTAGCAGCCCAGTTGAGTGCATGGGTAGGTTGTGTGTACATGCAGTGGATGCGGTGCTGCTGGGCACGATGATGGACGCTTACGGCCAGGGGGGGTAGGTATGCTGTTTGCTGAGATCCTGGTGAGTGGATGAGAGTGGGTGGGTTTGGGTGGGTGGATATGGCGTGGATGGGTGGTGATGGGTGAGTAGGGGGTTAGCATCTAGTGTTGCTGCTGCTGGCTGTGCTGTTAAGAACGATGATAAATGCGTGCAAGGCAAGGCAGACCAACTGGATGCCGCTGAAGCTCTTTTTGCTGAGATCCTGGTGGGTATGGATGGGTATTGATTGGTGAGTGAGCTGGTAGGAGGAAAAGTGCCGTTTTTTTTTTTTTTTTTTTTTTTTTTGGCGCCTCCCCTCCCTCCCCCGTTTCCCCTCTTCAGGCGGATGAGTCAGGCAGGCAGTATAGCGGGCCTGGCAGCACACACCACCATGATCAGCGTGTATGGGAAGCACACTGGGTCACATTGTATAATCAAATTTTCCACCGCCTCCTCCTCCTCCTCCTCCTCCTCCTCCTCCTCCTCCTCCTCCTCCTCCTCCTCCTCCTCCTCCTCCTCCTCCTCCTCCTCCTCCTCCTCCTCCTCCTCCTCCTCTTCCTCCCCCCTTCTCAGCTTTCCCTGGTACTCCCTTCTCAGCTTTTCCTGGGATCCCCTGGGACCTCCTCCTCCTCCTCCTCCTCACCACCATAACTCAGCTTTCCCCCCTTCTCCCACCCACCACTTGTTCCCCCCCACCACGCATGCACGCCCCTTCAGGCGGATGAGTCCGGTAGCATAGCGGACCTGGCAGCTCACACCACGATGATCAGCGTGTATGGGAAGCATGGGCTGGTGGATAAGGCGAAGGTGCGTGAGGGAGGGTGATGTGGGAGACGAGGGGATTATGTGTTTGTGAAAAGGGGGATATCACACTCCACCATGATTAACGTGTATGGGAAGCATGGGCTCGTGGATAAAGCGGTGAGGGGGAAGGGAAGGCGGGAAAGGAAGCGAATAGGGGGATGTGTGTGAAACGAAGTGAAATGTGAAATGTGAGAAGAAGGGAGATGTGTGTGTTCGCATCGCAGTGCATGTGAAGGGAGGACTAGCATCAGAGCTCACACCACGATGATCAGCGTGTATGGGAAGCGTGGACTGGTGGAGAAGGCGAAGGTACGCAAGGAAGAAGAGAGATACGAGGGGGATGCGTGTGAAGCAGGGAGATCTGTCGAAAGGGGGAAAAGGGGGTAGAAGGGGAAGAAAGAAAAGAGGGATGAACGAACGGCCATATTCTCCTGTTCTTCCCACGGAGGTAGCACTACTGAGCCTGAATAGTGGACTAGAGCAGGGGCAGGAAAAAAACTCAACCAAATAAAAAATGCGCCCAGGTTAGCTAAGGGTTTCCTTTTTTTTTTTTTTTTTTTTTTGTTCTGGCCTGCCCTGAACGGATCAGTAGTGATTCGGCCGCACACACATGACCCTGTGCTGTCGCCCTCCATCCTCCCTTTCCCTGGTGCATCCCTGCAGCTGCTTTTCACAAGCCTGAGAGGGTCGGGCAGGGACTTGGATGCAGTGATATGGAACGCCATGCTGAGTGCGCTGGGGAAGAACGGAAAGGTGGAGAGGAGAGTAGGCAGCCACGAACACAATATTTCATCCTTCCATTCTCTCTCCTCATTCCCCCCACCCACTCACTGTTGGATCCCTTCAGCTGCTGTTCACGAGCCTGAGGGGTTCGGGCAGGGACTTGGATGCAGTGATATGGAACGCGATGCTGAGTGCGTTGGGGAAGAATGGGCTGTGGAGAAAAGAACCATGGAACGCACATAACCGCGATGCTCACTCCGTCCATTCCCCGCCTCTGCTTCCACTTCTGTGCAGCTGCTGTTCACCAGCCTGAGAGGGGCGGGCAGGGATTTGGACGCGGTGATATGGAACGCCATGCTGAGTGCGCTGGGGAAGAACGGGCAAGTGCAGGAAAGCCAGCTACATCTGTCTTTCTGTTCCCCGCCTCCTCTTCCCCTTGTGTGCAGCTGCTGTTCACAAGCCTGAGAGGGTCGGGCAGGGACTTGGACGCAGTGATATGGAACGCGATGCTGAGTGCCCTGGGGAAGAACGGGTGGACGAGGGGTGAATAACAAGTCCTCTAGGCCGCACACATATATTGTTCGACAAACGTGTCCCATCCTCTCTCCATTCCCCCGACACGCCTCCCTTTTTTTCTCATTACAGGTGCTGTTTACCAGCTTAAGAGGGTCGGGCAGGGACTTGGACGCAGTGATATGGAATGCCATGCTGAGTGCCCTGGGGAAGAACGGGCGGGTGGGTGGGGAAGAGACAGATGCATCAACTCATGCACTCTCCCTACGTTCCTCACGTCCTCCTCCCTTTCGGTGCAGCTGCTGTTTACAAGCCTGAGAGGGTCGGGCAGGGACTTGGATGCAGTGATATGGAATGCCATGCTGAGCGCCCTGGGGAAGAACAAGCGGGTGGAGGAGGCGAAGGAGCTGTTTGCTGACATGCAGGAGAATGGGCCGGCACCCACTGTTTATTCCTACTCCATTATGATTGACGCGTGAGTTGATGCGAGAGTGGGTGTTGTTGGGAAAGAATGAGAGTGCAAGGGAGTGAGGGGGTTGGAGGAGGTAGGGCTGCTGTTTGCTGACATGCAGGAGAATGGGCCGGCACCGACCGTTTACTCCTACTCCATTATGATTGACGCGTGAGTTGATGCGAGAGTTGGTGTGGACGGCTGTGGAGCAGTTAGGAAGTTTGTAGAGAGAGTGTGCAAGGCAGGAGAGTCGGCTGGCGCCGACTGTTTATTCCTACTCCATTATGATTGATGCGTGAGTTGATGCGAGCGTGGGTGTGGAGGGGGGGAGAATGAGAGTGTGAGGGGGTGAGTGATGGTGGGGGAGGAGGCGAAGGAGTTGTTTGCTGACATGCAGGAAAGCGGACCGGCGCCCACTGTTCACTCCTACTCCATTACGATTGGTGCGTGAGTTGATGCATGAGTGGGTGTGGAGGGAGAATGAGAGTGCAAGGGAGTGATGGTGGGGAGGAGGAGGCGAAGGAATGGTCTTGCCCCTTGCTCTCTTCTTTCCTCCCGTTTCCCTCACCATGCAGTTTTGGCAAGGCCGATCGGATCCTGAATGCCTCCACTACCTTTGCCCGCATGCTCTCTTGAGTCGACTCAAAAGTGTTGGCAAGGCCGATCGGATCCTAAATGCCTCCACTACCTTTGCCCGCGTGCTCTCTCTTCTGGGCTCCGCCCCTCCCTGGTGACGTTCAACTCCATGCTCACTGCTCATCCCTCTCCTGCCCTTCTGCCTCCTGTTTTCCCTCCCCATGCAGTTATGGGAAGGCCGGTCGGATTCTGGATGCGTCAACCACGTTCGCCCGCATGCTGTCGTCTGGCCTCCGCCCCTCCCTGGTGACATTCAACTCCATGCTCGCTGCCTACCGCCGTGCTGGCATGGTCAACGACGGATGGGAGCAGAGGGGGCGGTTCCCATCCACCCACAGGGAAGCTGAACTCTGTCTCTTGTCGTCCTTTCTCCTGTCCCCTGTTTCCTGTCCCTTCTTCCTCCAGCTATGGAAAGGCCGATCGGATTCTGGACGCATCGACCATGTTTGCCCGCATGTTCTCCTCGGGTCTCCGCCCATCTCTGGTGACATTCAACTCCATGCTCGCTGCCTACCGCCGTGCCGGCATGGTCAACGATGCTGCTGCTCTCTTCCGCAGGATGAGAGCAGAGGGGGTGCCGCCCAGCCATGTGTCGTATGCGATTCTCATCCACACACACGCGCAGGCGGGGGATTTGAGGGAAGCCACTCGGCTGTTCAGGTAGGTTTGGCTTGATTTGCTCGTTTGGGGGATGGGAGGAAACAGGGGGGTTAAGAGGGCGTGCCGCCCAGCCACGTGTCGAATGCCATTCTTATCCACACACACGCGCGGGTGGGGGATCTCAGAGTTGCCACTCGGCTTTTCAGGTGAATTGGGGTGCCTGGGGCACGGGGCACGGGGCACGGGGCACGGGGCACGGGGCACGGGGCACGGGGCACAGGGCACAGGGCACAGGGCACGGGGCACGGGGCACAGGGCACAGGGCACGGGGCACGGGGTACGGGGTACGGGGTACGGGGCACGGGGCACGGGGCACGGGGCACAGAGCATGGGATTGGGGGCATGAATTGTGTGGTCTGTGATTCTTCTCCACGCACACGCGCGGGTGGGGGATCTCAGAGAGGTCATGCGACTGTGCAGGTAAGCTTGTGTTTGCTGGTTTCTTTGGGGGATGCGCAGGAAACAGAAGCCTCGCAAACAGGGGATGGGGCACAGGGACAGTGGGTGTGCTGTGGACAACACCCGACTCTCCACTACATCACCTCCATGCTCAGAAGGATTGGTCTGAGTGGCTTCTGCCTAGTCAAGCCTAGAACCTGTCGCCTCTTCCATCACTCACTCACTCACTCACTCACTCACTCACTCACTCACTCATTCACTCACTCACTCGCCCACCACTCACTCCATCCCCTCCCCTCCCACGTCCTGTTTTACCACAACCTGTGATACTGCAGAGAGCTGCAGGACAGCGGATGTGCCGTGGATAACCCAACCCTCCACCGAATCACCTCCATGCTTAGAAGTGCTGGCAGGAGCCACTCCAGCATGCTCTAGGGGAGTGAAAAGGCTTGGGTTGCTGGCTTGAGATGCTCTGGGTGGGCTTGAGGCAATTGTCAAAACCCAACCCAACCCAGCCCAACCCAACTCTTCACGGAATCACCTCCATTCTCAGAAGGGCTGGCAGGAGCCACTCCAGCATGCTCTAGGGGTTGGGGATACGGTCTTCGTTGTCTTCCTCTTCTTGTTTGAGAATAGAGAGATGACCTTGTATGGTATGGTTTCCAGCCAATACTCACGTACAGTGCAGTGCAGACCATCATTCGATTCTTCACTAATCACTCAGATGGACACAAAGGCAGGTTGAATCAAACCACTTGACTCCACTCCTATCCTATCCAACATGCTTTGCGATGCAAGATGTGAAGCTGAGTTCTCCAGTCTGAAATGGAAGATGGCCTTGTGTAAGCTCCAGATATAAGATAGAAGCAGCCCTCTAGACTTATACGTCCATTGCTGGTAAGGCTAACATCTACACTACACACTACAACAAGCCGTTCTGGTATTTCAAGCATGATTAATCATGAAAGCATGTCTCAATCAATAACTCATTGAAGCAAGGCTAGGCCACAAAAGTATTAGTCAAAACTTGCTATCAACGTCATTTTCCTTTTGGCACAGTCATCCCCAACAGTGCTAAATAAATAATAGTTCGAGGACAGCACCAGATGTACCGGTATGCTCTTCTAGCCTTGCCCGTGGGCTTCACAAACCACTGTTCACGGACTTGGTATTGCAGGCCTTCATCGCTGCGAAGTCCGTGGCTGCAGCCAAGCTGTGCTTGCGGTCATACTGTTTGCCGAACCAACCGCTGCCCCACTTGAAAACTGCAGCCGGGTGGAGGCAGAGTTTGAGAAATAGGAACCTGCCATTATCGCGTACGGCCGGGAAGGTGCTGCTTCGCGGTAGCTTTCAAACAGCATGACAAATGGTGGCAAATGTTTGCGAGTAGGGACATCGAAGGCGGGAAATGAGCAGGATTACAGAGCTAGTAAGGCAAGCGAAACACTCAGAAAAGCGTACCTAGCGTGTCGCCTACGTTATACGATATCGGAGGCGCAGAGCTGACATGAGACCAGCCCTTGCTGCCGCCAATCATGATTGTCTTCGCATGCTGCATGCACAATAGGACGTTCCAGCAGGGCAACATACAGCATCCCAGATTGGTTTAGGGCGGGGTGGGGGAGGAGGGGAGGGGGGGGGAGGAGGGGAAGGGGGGGGGGGGGGATGGTATCCAGATTTGAAGTGCCCACTTGGGAGCCAGGGACAGGATATTGTCTAAGTAGTAAAGGCTTTGTTCATACATCATTACAAGGTGAACTATAGCAACCTTGCACGCGGCAGAGTACAAACCACTTTTAAGATTTCTCAAAAGTGACTCTTACATGATTATGTAGCTATGATGCCGGGGCAACCAGCGGGCGGTATAGGACGCGTCCATTGCGGAAAGGGAAGTGCAGAAAATTGTGTGAAAACAAAAGAAGAGATGCGCTCGAGATGCGGAAACAACGACGTTTTAGTTCTGAATATTGAGCTTTTGACATTCTTTCTGAGGCTCAACTTTATAGCCTCCGAGGTCGCTGGCCTGCTTGACTCGCGTGTACCCATACAGTGTGAGTTTTCCACACTTTTCCGAAGGAAAAGCTGGTACTTTGCATTCTTTTAATAGCCGATTTCCCTTTTCCGCTGATCGTCAACGCACTCACCGCGACTGCAGGGTGGTTATTGCCTGGAAGGTCCAGCGAGAAGCCTGCACACCACAGCAAACATGAACACAGTGTTGGAGAGTCGAGATTCTGCCGCCCCAGCCCTTTGCACACAAGGAGCAGCAAGGGGGGGATGGATCGAAGGCTTCGCGAAAAGTTCGGAAACTTTCCTAACCAATCGGATTTCAGCCGAAGTCTC